TTTGTGAAACTTCAAAATATTACATATTTAATTAAAATCGTCACTTTTCTATTCCCTTTTCTTTCTCTAACCCCTCCCAAATTTCTTCATTATCCATTTGCTTTAAAACTGTTGGCCTATTATTATTATTATTATTATTATTATTATTATTATTATTATTGTATGTGTGTGCTTTAAAGTAGATACAACCAGCTGAGTCCATTTATATGTGTGACTTTTAATAGGCAATCAAAACAAAGGCATCATAGAAACCTTACAGCACCTCTTCCATTTGAGCTAGACAAACTTGTCTGGAGACATAAGTGTTATTTCAGAACACAGTGAGACATTGTACTTTCAGGCAGCTGAATGTGCCTCTTACATTCACACGTATTTGAAAGAATACAAAGAGCAGATTGCAACCAGTAGATTGAAAGGTCAAAGGAGATCGTGGCCAGCATTTTGCTCATATTTTTCAAATGCTTTGCTCTAAATAGAGGCCTTTGGAGTTTACAGCTTACACTTGGAGATTTCACAAGTCTCAAGGGTGTTGTGGGGCTTTCCTCCTCCCCATGTAAGGAAATAATGATGCTTGACCTTAGTGTCAACAACATAGGTCATGAGAAAATTAACAAATGGTTTCAAGTGGATTCTTTCCACAAGGTTCCCCTGTTCCTCCCCAAAGCCCTGAGCAAGGGCCTCCAACGGTAGGTAACCCAGGCTTAGAAATAAAAAAAAAAAAACAGACTAGCTTAGAACTCAGGATTTTTGTGCCTTGGCTGTAGTCTGGGGGTAGCAGGCATGTACTGTGTCATGCCTGGCACCTTTTGCACATTGTAAGCACACCCACCATGAAGCTGAAAGCCTAGCGTTTGGGGTCTAAAATGTCTACAGCCCTGGATAAACTCTGAGATGTTTCTGAAATCATTTAGATACATCCCAGAAGAGAATTTGCATTATAGAGAAGAGATTCTTGCAGAGAAACAATGACAATTTATTGTCACTTGAGCCTGAGCTGAATTCTTTAACATGGAGTCAATTGTAGAAAATCCAAGTGTTTCTGGTCACTTGTGGCATCCCTGTTGTTTGGTTTAAACTCAGAGCCTCATTTAAATGGCATTCTTTAATTAAGCTTTTATTGGCCTTTTCAGTTAGAAGATTTTTGTCATCTTTGCTTTGGTTGTGTAACACTTTTCTCTCTATTTGCTCTCAATCATCAAGACTTGTAAGAAGCTCTTACACATGCCCATGAGGTGGGTTTTGTTGTTGTTGTATGTTTCTGTTACAAGCACATGGGAAACAAGGAGGACCTAACATAATGACTGGCTTATGGGAACTGCTAGGTCATAGTGTAAGAGAAAACCTGTGACACATCTGTTTGTTCCAGTGTCCCAAGTCTGATTCCAGTTTCCAACCTTAAACATGTCAGAACATTAGAAAATGCAATTTTAACTATTGTCAATAATTTTTTTCACATTAAATGTATTTTCTATGTTGAGAGTTTTTGAAAATCTAGACTAGTAGATGTATTGCTAAGAAAATTAGGGCTTTATCACCCAAGCCATTTTTAAGTCATGTCATCATTACAAATTTATGAAAAGAAAGATCTAGGCTTCAAGAGGATAACATATGTGAGATTCTCATGGTAAATAAACTAAAATAAGTACTTATAAATTAGACTTTATCCTCACCTGTTTTCAGAGCATAGGATGCATTCACTGGGGTAAGTATTTCCATCCATCCCACACACAGGGTCATATATTCTGGGACATCCCACAAATGCATCATTGCAACTTGCCTAAATATAGAATTAAGTATAGTCATTTTCTATCAGTTCTCAATGTTTGATGCTATAATAAGATATTAATTTTTTAGTTTATTTTTCAATTAGGATAATGACACTGAATGTTGTATAAGAAAACAATAATAACAACCATATAAACAACCTACCCTAGAATTAGAAAATCTGATTTAAAGTCAAGTTATGGACATTTCCTACTTATATAACATCACAAGTCTGCTAATTTCTTCCTTGGTCTCAACCACTTCATCTGCAAATTGGGAAAACATCAGGTCATGATGCTTAGGTCACGATGCTGTGGTGACGTTTGATAAGAGGAAGAAGATAACTCTCAAGCTCACATTTCCTGGTGTGCTGGCTTCCTTAGGGCCATCAGATAGTTAGTCTTCCTTGATGATTATCATTACACACCTTTCATAGGGCACTGTCCTATTTTTATGTATTATTCCATGGTTAAGCATCACCCCTTAATCGTAACTGTCAATTATTCATTCATTGATCTATCCCATAACTATCTTGTAAAGTTATCATTCCATTCTTCCTCAAGGGAAGAGTCACAAAGTGATGAATTGAGTTAAAGCCATTTATCTAGTGATTCTTGGACCCTGAATTCCAGTTCCTGGGTGTTATGTCACCTCTCCATTTCAGGACATTGACCACTAGCTCTGTTTTGCTGACGGTCATCAGTCATCCATTATTTTTTTTATCTTTTACAGTCATCCATTCTTCATGGATCAATACTTGGGGGACCTTTCTTCACCTCTCAAACAGCTTAGACAGGAAATTCAAGAAGTAAGAAATAACACATCATAAGAAATTATAGAATTTTCTTTACCTTTCTCCCCACTAATTTAGCTGAAGTGTTACCTAGAAAACAAAAATCAAACATGTCAACTAGGATTCCAAATAAAGAAGCCAGATCTGTCCTTATTTACCTAAGAATACAGTTTTCATAGTGCCTTCTCTGCTTCCACTATCCACTTCCCACCCCTTTTATTTCCACAGATTTTCAAGGACATTGGACAGGTTTTCTCCACTCTCTCGCTAAGTTCCTGAAAAGAATTACGTAAAATTTTGACTCTTACTAGGCATTTCAATTTAGCATTTCTGAAAATTTGATCCACTTGACAGTAGAAATTATGTTCTGAGAGTGTGAAACATTTAGGCACTAATTATTCAGACACCTTCCGGATGTCCATCAGTATTCTCTATGCATCCAATAGAGCTTTCATCTCAGTCAGTGAATTATAAATATCTGTACCTCTGGGTGTGTGTGGCAGTATGGGAAACAGCCATCAGGTCTTGGGGTATAATTAAGTTTCTTTTGTAAATAGTGTTAAAAATGGGGCTTTTCTGCCAACTCACCATCAGTTCTCAAAGAGCTTTTTCCCACAGGTGCATTACAGTGACTGACTAGATGTCCAAATTGTCTTTTGTGTATTTACATAGTTCATAAAAGGCTCCATTCTTCAGAAAGCAAGTCTCACTGACATCAAAGCATATGATACATATATGTAACAACAATCAAAGCAAACGGAATTTTAAAGAGAGTAAGGAGGTATATGGAAAGGTTTGTAAGGAAGAAAGGGAAGGGAGAAATGATGTAATTATATTCTCAAAAAATTATATTTAAGAAAAGCATATGGTAACTGTGAATGTAGATGAGTTTACCAGGGAGAGAAATCTAATCTGATAGCCCCCAAAGGAGAAATGTTCCTGAAACTTAATTTTCAGTCAATAATCTCCAAGGGAATAAAAAAAGATCTCTGGGACTCATCAGAAAAGATGCGGCTGCTGGGGTCCCTTTAGATCCAAAATGTAAACGAGTCTAAAAATTGATGAGCAGGGGCTCATTACAGGCATCTAGTTGCATTCATTAATAGGCTTGAGGTGGAACAAAGGGCTCCTTTCTTCCATAAATATTTATCAAAAACAGTAAGCAGTGGCCTTCCACTTCTTAGCTTAGCACAAATATGGCTCTAGTCAAAAGCTCTGCCCTATCAGCGGTGGAGGTGAAAGTATTCATAAATGCTAGTTACAAAAAGCCAAACTCATATCAGCCAGAACCATTCGCACGCTAAGTTTGAGGATTCCTGCATCTGTTCAAACAGGATGTTTTCTTTCTAAAAACATCCTCTAAATAAAACATGCCACTTTTAATCACTCAAAAACATGAGTGCTATGTGAACTATATGGTAGTCATTTCTATGTATTTTATGCAAGTTAATAAGAATTTTGATTTTGTAAGTTGGCCTTACATACTCTAGTAACTATCTTTAGGGTTAGAAGAGGATTTTAGGTTGAAACCCTTTCTGCTCTACCACATCCCGAATGAAGTAGCAGCCTTGTCTTTAGATCAGGCCATGACTATCTCTGGGCACATCTTCCTAGAGATGCTTTTTTCATTGATGATAGAAGTGACTTCTTTCTGTAATACACATTTTCTTTTTAGTATTCACTCCAATGAGTTCATTTCCACTCTTTTGATACAAGAGAGCTAATGCTAGACTATCTAAATTTCCAGCAGATATATTCAGTAAAGCCACAGATGAAAACCTTTTACTAATTTACAGAGAATATGCACACACCTACCTGCTAAATTGAGCAGGGCCAAGGCACTAAGAAAGATAATCACCACCTTCATGGTTGCAGTTCTGGGCACAAAGGTCAGAAGAGCTCTGCACTATGCTTCTCACCAGAAACTGAGGAGTGATCTTATAGACAGGTGGTAACACAGGCTCCACCCACTGTTATTGATTAACCAAATCCTTGGTTATTGATTGACTCTGTGAGGCCTCCATGCTGGGGAAAACATTGAGTAGGAAACAGGGCAGGAAAGGCTGGACCCAAATTTTGCCAGGAAACACTAGTTAGCTTGATTCCCGACATCCTCTCAGGTTTTGAGAAATCTTTCCCCTTTTCCGGAACACTGGTTTTCTTATTTGTAGGTGAATTCAAAGGTCCTGTCTCCTCTGTAGTTCTGGATGGATGAGCAAAAGTGGAGAGCTCAAAGACATTTTCCATTTCCTTCATTTTCTTCCACTCTTCCATTCATGTGTTCCCCCCCTCATTTCTCTCTTTAATCACCGTGTACATATGTTAAGGTTTGATAGGCTGGGGTAAAAGATAAAGAGGGCTCGGTTCCTCTCCCTGTCTCCTCAGTTGCCTGTCCTGGGCCTGTGTATGCTTACCACAGCACTGGTCTACCTCTAGAAAATCGGTGCACTTTCTGATAGCTTCAATTTATGCATTTGAAAATGAACTTAACAGGAATAACTAACTCACAGGGTTGATCCTTCACTAACTGATGTGTACTGAATGAGTGCATGGTGGTACTTTCTATTTTCTTTCATGTTTCTGCCTGTCATGTGAGTAGAGATATTTGTCACTTAGTTTCAAACTATCTTTTCCAGGGTGTTTTAAGAAGCGACATCTGTCTCCCTTTGTCATGAAGGGTAAAATTTTTTTTTCGTCTAGAATAAGAGGGAACATATTTCAGAGCAGCACTAAGATGGAGTTACTGCTCTCTCTGTGTGTTTTTAAAGATTTTATTTATTTATTATGTATACAACATTCTGCTTCCATGTATATCTGCACACCAGAAGAGGGCACCAGATCTCATAACAGATGTTTGTGAGCCACCATGTGGTTGCTGGGAAATGAACTTAGGACCTCTGGAAGAGCAGCCAGTGCTCTTAACCTCTGAGCCATTCCTCCAGCCCCAAGTTACTGCTCTCTTAAAACCACTTGGACTTTTTTAAAGTTTGGTGTTCTTTTCTCACAGCCCTGGACACTTTCTGTGTAGATGTCATATGGTCCTCCTTTCATCACCTTTGGAAAATTGGAGTTTGTTACAAATATTGTTACTTTAGCTATTGTTACAAAATAATTAAGTCATTTGCCTGACCTTGGTGCCTGGCTTATGTCAACATCCCCTCTTGGTGGCTGTCTAATGTTTCAGCAAACCAGTAAAGTCTCAGACCTTCTCCAACTCTTCAGAACTGGTAAACACTACTCATCTTTTGGGATGTAACCAATGGCATGGACCTCTGTGTTTCATGGAGTATGCATACATTTTAGTTGAGGGAGACAATAAATACGCAATAGTAAAAAAAATTAAAAATCAGATTATGACAAATTTATGCAGAGGAGTAGAGAGACATGAATGGTAGATGGGGACACCTAGCACAGCAGCTGCATTCCTCCAGGAAAGGCATTGATGACTAGGTGGCATGCAAACAAAAGGAAGTGAGGAAATGAACTATGGGCAAAGCTAAATATCTGTCCCGGGCAGAGAGAAAGTTCAGGGCTAGGCTCTGGGGCAGGATCAGCTGACGTGTTCGCCATCATTAAGCATGACAGTCCACTTTGAGGAAATAAGAGATAAAAGTGGGGCATGATGTGAACACACAGTAAAGGCCTGAGTCAGGAGCGTCCATAACATTGTGAAGGTACTGACTTTTGTGAATTGGAAAATTTGGGGGATATAAAGTTTGATATCTTTCTCAGGACATCCCATAGGCATCTCAAATGTAGCATGCCCTTTGCTATTATTTTAATCACTTAGCACCATTAAATATTTTTCCTTTATATTCCTCACTGTTTCTTTTTTATTTCAAAGGGATTGTTCAAACCAAAACCCTACTATTCATCTTGAGGATCCTTTATCAATTGCCAACATCTGAAATTTTTATCACCATTCTCTGTCTCTGTCTTTGTCTCTCTCTGGGTTCTATGTCCAAAACTTATACCTACTTCCAATCATGTCTACTATTGTATCTTACATGATACTACCATATCCATATTATCTTGACACCAATTCCTCCACGTGTTTTCTCAGTGTCTTGTTTCTTCAGACCTCTGTCCCTACAACCGTCTCTACGGAATGCAATTATGATCATACTTCTCTCCAATTTTTCATTCTTCAGGATCCCTGGGATGGACTTAGACTCCTTTCTACTTCTCTTGCTTTAGGCTGGTTGGCATCCTTCTTAACCTCCCAGCCAAGTTGGCAATTTCTTTGTTCTCCGTGGATTAGAAGTTAAACATAAACACCTTCATTCAAACTTTAAGACACGTTAATAAACATTTTCTTATGAAATGTTCCCTCTTATTTTTTTCTGACTCCTCCTTAACTTTACCATTTACTTTCAGCTCACTGGTTATATATTTCATGGTATTCTTCATATCACTTAAAATAATTTTAATTGTATGGGATTGAGAGATGAATTTAAGAATCTAAGAATATTTGCCTCTCTTCCAAAGGACATAGGTTAGATTTCCAGAGCCCATATTGTTCCTCATAACTATCTACAACTCCAGATATATTGAATCTGAAGCCTTCTTCTGATCTTGACTGCTGCAGGCATGCCTGTGATGTGCAGACATGCATACAGGCAGAAAAAACTCACATACATATCAATTTTAAAAAAATAATTTAAAAGCTATATCTCCTTATATGACTGCTAGAAAAGATCTTTTAACTTTTAAGGAACACATATGGTTATTTTGGTTTAGCACTTCGCAAAGTACCTGCAAAATGTTGGGTATTAAGTAAAAACTTGCTGAAAATACACATTCAGTAAAATATAAATATTCTGATTTTTTCAAAGATCAAAGTTTGGTGTTTTGTTCATACATGTATTTTCAGTCCTTTCTATATGGTGTTCCATTCTTAGTTCATTTAGAAGTTTGTTAATTCAAGTCTTGATATAATAAAAATATTGTTTGCTTCTGTCTGTATACTCCCATTTGCATGTTTAGGACATGGATATGTTTCCTGCCACCATGAAGTATTGGTTGAATCAGCAAAATTCTTGCTTTTCATCTCATGTCATCAACTGTGTAGTGACCATATTACTGGCAAGCAAGTTACAACAGCCACTGTTAAGGAGAGTTCATACACCAGAAAAGGATTCTTTTTTTTTTCCAACACAGTAAAGGAATGTCTCACAGTGTGGGGAAGGGAGTTGTCTAGGCTCTTGTCCTAAGCATTTTTTAAGTAACAGAGCAGTGGTTGCAGTGTTCTGATATTGGCTTGATGATTCTAGAGTATGGACAGTGATTTTCACAATTATTGACCCTGAATCTGTTGGAAAAAATCATGTCATGGTGGATTGATAAGCAAAATCATGAAGAAAGAAAATTCAATTTCATTATTGCTTTGTATTTTGATTCTATTGTGAATTATAACTCACAAGTCTTCACCTGTGCCTTGGAAAACATTTCCATGCAGTGTGAATTCCAAGACATCATGTGATTCTGAATGGTACAACACAGAACAGTTCCGGTAAGAAATTGCCCATGGAATTGGAATGGGAATGGCCTTTTAGCCGAA